ACACAAGGACACACAGAGACACACAGAGACACACAGGGACACACAGAGACACATAGAGACACACAGAGACACACAGGGACACACAAGGACACAGGGACACACAGAGACACACAGAGACACACAGACACACAAAGACACGTACAAAGACACACAGACACACACAGGGATACAAAGAGACACAAATAGACACACAGAGACACACAAGGACACTTATCCAATCTGGGCTAACGAGATTAGGTGGTTTGGTGGAAGTCGAACCACTATTTCCACAGGCTGGATTGTGTTACAGTGGTTGCTACGGTGACCTAAAATCTGGATGTTAACAGGGGGGGCTTCATGTTTGAAGATGTACTGTATTTCCTCCCTTTGCTTCCGCCAATAGCGGCCCATGGCTAACAGCTAGCAGCTAGCAGCTAGCTCTCTTTCAGCTCCTGCTTCCTGCTGCTGTCACCAGCCTCTCAAACCCGACCCGACGCGACCCCGTCCACACTCCGGCCCCCGTATGAAAGAAAATCTGTGGGAATCCAGAGGAGTCGATAGATTTATGCGTCCGGGAGACCGAGGTCCAAATCTCCTGTTATTGATAGTCCCTCTGAAACGGAGGCCTTACGGCCACGCTGCGCGGAAAGATTGACGTCCTCGGTTTTCTGCAACGTGAGGGATTTGAGCTATATTTAGTCAACAAATAAACAAATGGGCAGTTGCGTAACCTGGGTGCTTCAGTAGCAGCCAGCTGTCCACTCAGAGCAAAGATGGATGGCTAAACAACTCAGTAACATCCCAGATGCTCTCATGCTAACATGCAAATACCATGGATGTTCACCTTTACATAGAAAAATTAGAAATCTCAAAGGTTTTCTTACATTTGACTCATTGACTGCCAGAGTTTTTTGAGCATTTTGACTGATTTTTCAAGAGCCACAGAATAGTTTGTGCTATGACTATGTAAACACCGAACACACCAAAAGAAAGAGTAGACTCTCTTCTTTAATAAGGAAAAAAAATTTGTTTCTACCTTATTCCGTTCCTCTTTGACGTGCGTCTCACCGGCGACATGTTCTCTCATAGCGAACCGTTAGCTTTTTCTTATTTGCCTACAGTCTATGCTCATCTCCCATCAAAAGTGGCACTGCCCCCTAGAGGGTCAATTTGTTACTACATACTCTGTCTAGAAGCCTGATATTTACGGACAAGCTTTAGCAGATCGTCCCCCAGACACTCTCGTTGAAAAACATAAAAGACGCCCAATAGACGTCTTTGGCAGCCAATGAGTTAAGAGGAAAATGAGCCGTTCAGAATTTGTAATAGTTAACCCGATTCTTTAGTTGGAAACCTGAGAACAAACCTGAGTAGTTAAAATGTACAAAAATAACATTTATTGGACACAGTTAAGTATATCAGCTAGGCTCTAACAGCTCTAACCAGCCGGCATGAGAAAAGACTCCAGATCCTTTTTTTTTTAAAGTCCAATCCCACACGAGCATTAGCATTAGCATTAGCATCTCCTAACCCACAGGTCTGTGTCCTAACCATTAAGTTGTTATCACAGCATTAGCATTAGCATCTGCTAACCCAATGGTATGTGTCCTAACCATCAAGTTGTTATCACAGTATTAGCATTAGCATTAGCATCTGTAACCCACAGGTCTGTGTCCTAACCATTAAGTTATCAGAGCTTTAGCATCAACATTAGCATCTGTAACCCACAGGTCTGTGTCCTAACCAT